GGGGTTTACCGGATTCCATGCTCGCGTGAGGATCTTTGTCCGCTATCCCCCACCCCTTTAACTTATACCATTTTTTCGATAAAACACTACAATTTAAATACCTACTTTTGGGCAATTATATTCTTATTGCACAAAATTTTATAAAATATATTTGCTCGTTTATGATGGATCTACAAAATTTTAGGCGATTCAAGGCTGGATGTCTTAATTGACGAAAATGGCGTAAGTATTAGCACATAAAAAATCAAAAATCATGCTGAATTCCTTTTTATATCCCTATAACGCCCAAAAAATGAAGAACGGTCACGGCAAACAATAATTATGGTTCATTAGGTCGTTTCTGAAGGGACCATAAAAATTTAGGCGATTCGGGGCTAGTCATCCGAATTCATGAAGATGTCGGGGACATTAGCATACAAAAATCAAAGAATCGTGTTGAACTCTTGTTTTATGGCCCTAAAAAAATTAAAAAACGAGGAATGGTTATGGAAAGTCAACGAGTACGGTTCATTAGATGATTTTTTATGAGCCCGAAAATCAAATTGAATACTTATTTTATGGTCCTAAAACGGCAAAAAAATAAGGATTGATTATGGAGCGACAATGACTATGGTCCATTAGCTCGTTTATGATAGTCCCATAAAATTTTATGCGACTAAGGATTGGTCACCAAATTCATGGCGTGGACAAGCACATGAAAAATAAAAAGTTGTACTGAATTTCTTTTTATGCCCCTAAAAATGGTTAAAATTTGAGGAATGGTCATGGCAAGACAATGACTATGGTTCATTAGGTTATTTCTGATGGGCTCACAAAATTTTAGGCGAACCGGGGCCGGTCTCCTAAATTCATAAAGATGGTGTGTACATTAGCACACAAAAAATCGAAAATCATGTTGAACTCCTTTTTATGGCCCTAAAACATCAAAAAATAAGGAACGGTCATGGAGAGACAATGAGTATTGTACATTAGGCTGTTTTTGATGGACCCGCAAATTTTTAAGTGGTTTGGGGCCGATCACCCGAATTCATGAAGATGGCGTGGACATTAGCACACGAACAATCGGAAATTGTGCCCTATTTTATGGCCTTAAAAACGCCAAAAAATAATGAACGATCATGGAGCGACAATGACTATGGTTTATTAGCTCGTTTATAATGGTCCCACAAAATTTTATGCTATTCAAGGCCGGTCGCCGAATTCATGAAGATGGCGTGGACATTAGCACACGAAAAATTAGAAATCGTGTTGAATTCCATGTTTTATGGCCCTAAAATGCGAAAAAAATGAGGAACGGTCATGGCAAGGTAATGACTATGGTTCAATAAGTTATTTTTGATGGGCCCATAATATTTTAGGTGATTTGGGACCGGTCATCCGAATTCTTGAAGATGGCGTGGACATTATTAGCACATAAAAACTCAAAAATCGTGTTGAATTTCTGTTTTATGGTCCTAAAATGCCAAAAAATGAGGAATGACCATGGCAAGGTAATGACTATGATTCATTAGGTTGTATTTGATGTTCCGAAAAAATATTTGAAAGATTTGAAAATGAAGCAAATCTCATTGGTGATTAATATCTATATTCGTGATTAATATTTGCGGTAATGCGGATGTATATATCAATTTCAATGTATGAGTTTCAACTTCAAAAAAATGAATCAAGTCTCAATCGTGATTAATATCTATATTAAAATGTGCATAAATATTAGGCGATTCGGATTTGGGAGATCGGGCCCACATCGGATGGCATGGGCTATAAAAATCGTGGGGAATTTCAGTTTTATTGCCGTAAAATGCCAAAAAATATAATTTGGTCATGGCGGGACAGTGAATATGGTTCCTTAGGTCGTATTTGATATCCTGGAAAATTATTAGGCAATTCGGGTCCAGGGCCTAGGCCCACCGCGGAAGGCGTGGGCTATAGCATACAAAAATATGGGAATTGAGCGAAATTCCAGTTTTATTGCCGAAAAATGCCAAACAATATGATTTGGTCATGGCGGGGTGGTGACTATGGATTCTTAGGTTGTATTTGATGCTCCGGAAAAATATTATGTGATCCGGGTGCCAGGATCCATGGCGGAAGGCGTAGGCTATAGCACATGAAAATATGGGAATCGTACGGAATTCAAGTTTTATGGTCGTAAAATGCCAAAAATGTAATTTGGTCATGGAAGGGCAGTGACTATGGTAACTTAGGTCATATTTGATGTCCCGAAAAAATATTAGGCGATCCTGGTCCGGGGGCCCGGGCCCACGGCGAAAGGTGTGGCTATAGCACACGAAAATATGGGAATAGAGCGGAATTCCAGTTTTATTGCCTAAAAATATAATTTGGTCATGGCGGGGTGGTGACTATGGTTCCTTAGGTCGTATTTGATGTCCTGGAAAAAAATTAGGCGATCCAGGTCCGGGGGCCCCAGCCCACGGCGGAAGGCGTGGGCTTTAGCACACGCAAATATGGGAAGCGTGCGGAATTCCAGTTTTATGGCCGTAAAACGCCAAAAATATAATTTGGTCATAGCGGCGCGATGGCTATAGTTCCTTAGGTCACATTTGATATCCCAAAAAAATATTAGACGATCCGAGTACAAGGGACTGGGCCCGCGGCGGATGGCGTGTGTTATAGCACATGAAATTATGGGAATCGAGCGGAATTCCAATTTTATTGCCGAAAAACGGCCAAAAATGTAATTTGATCATGGTGTGACGGTGACTATGGTTACTTAGGTCATTTTTGTTGTCCTGAAAAAATATTAGGCGATCCTGGTCCGGGGGCCCGAGCACACAACGGAAGGTGTGGGCTATAGCACACGAAAATATGAGCATCGAGCGGAATTCAAGTTTTATTGCCTTAAAAACGCCAAAAAATATAATTTGGTAGTGGTGTGGCGGTGACTATGGTTCCTTAGGTAGTATTTGATATCCCGAAAAAATATTAGGCAATCTGGGTCTGGGGACCTTGGCCCACGGAGGAAAGTGTGGGCTATAACACACGAAAATATAAGAATCGGGTGGAATTCCAGTTTTATGACCGTAAAACGCCAAAAAGTATAATTTGGTCATGGTAGAGCGGTGTCTATGGTTCCTTAGGCCATCTTTGATGACCAAAAAATATAAGGTAATCCGGGTATGAGGAACCGGGCCCACGGCGGAAAGCGTGGGCTATATCATACGACAATATGAGTATCGAGCGAAATTCCAGTTTTATTACCGTAAGATGCCAAAAATGTAATTTGGTCATGGAAGGGCGTTGACTATGGTTCCTTAGGTCGTAATTGATGTCCTGAAAAATATTAGGCGATCCGGGTCCGGAAGACCGGGCCCACAGCGGAAAGCGTGGGCAATATAGCACACAAATAGTCATAAAATGCTAAAAATATAATTTGGTCATGGCGGGGCGGTGACTGTGGTTACTTAGGTCACATTTGATGTACCAAAAATATATTAGGCGATCCAGGTCCGGGGGACCGGGCCCACGGTGGAAAACATGGGTTATAGTACACGAAATTATGGGAACCGTGGGGAATTCCAGTTTTATTGCCGTAAAACACCAAAAAAATATAATTTGGTTATAGCGGGACGGTGACTATGGTTCCTTAGGTTGTATTTGATATTTCGAAAAATTATTAGGCGATTTGGGTCCGAGAGCCCGGGACCACGGCGAAAAGTGTGCGTTATATAGCACACAAAGTTATGAAAATCGGGCAGAACTCTAGTTTTATGGCCGTAAAACACCTAAAAATATAATTTGATCATGGAAGGGCGGTGACTATGGTTCCTTAGGTTGTACTTGATGTTACGAAAAAGTTTTAGGCGATCAGGGTCCCGGGCCCACGGCCGAAGGCGTGGGCTATAGCATATGAAAATATGAAAATCGGGCGGAATTCTAGTTTTAAGACAAGAGGGGTTGCTCTGATGGTAAGCAACCCCCACTTCCAACCGAGAGGTTGTGAGTTCGAGTCACCCCAAGAGCAAAGGTGGGGAGTTCTTGGAGGGAAGGATGCCGAGGGTCTATTTGGAAACAGCCTCTCTACCTTTGGTAGGGGTAAGGTCTGCGTACACACTACCCTTCCCAGACCCCACTAGTGGGATTATACTGGGTTGTTGTTGTTGTTGGTGGGCGGAATTCTAGTTTTATGTCTATAGAACGCCAAAAAACATAATTTGTTCATGGCAGGGTGGTGAATACAGTTCCTTAGGTCGTATTTGATATTCCAAAAAATTATTAGCCGATCCTAGTCCGCGGTCGCGGGTCCACGGTGTAAGGCGTGGGCTATAGCACAAGAAAATATGGGAATAAAATGGAATTCCAGTTTTATTGCTGTAAAATGGCAAAATATTTAATTTGGTCAAGGAGGGGCGATGAATATGGTTCCTTAGGTCATATTTGATGACCCGAAAAAATATTAGACGATCCCGATCTGGGGGCCTGGGCTCACGGTGGAAGGCATGGGCTATAGCACATGAAAATATAGGAATCGAGCGGGATTCTAGTCTATGGCCGTAAAACGCCAAAAAATATAATTTGGTCGTGGCGGGGTGGTGACTATGGTTCCTTAGGTCATATTTCGTGTCTTGAAAAACTATTAGGCGATCGTGGTCCGGGGGCCCGGACCCACGGGGGAAGGCGTGGGATATCACACACGAAAATATGAAAATCGAGCGAAATTCCAGTTTTATTGCCGTAAAACACCAAAAAAATATAATTTGGTCGTGGCCGGGTGGCGACTATGATTCCTTAGGTCATATTTGAGGTCTCGAAAAAAATATTAGGCGATTCGGGTCTGGGGGCCCGGGCCCACGACGGAAGGCGTGGGCTATAGCACACGAAAATATGGGAATCAGGCGAAATTCCAGTTTTATGGCCGTAAAACACTAAAAAATATATTTTGGTCATGGAAGAGATGCAGCTATTATTACTTAG